TTGTTCTTCTCGGCGGGCCTCGGCATCCTCCACGGGCTCCGGCGTCGCATCCAGCGGTTCGCGGCAGCCTCGCGCGAGCCCGCATGCGCAAGTATCGTCGCACCGCTCGCGCTTTCCATGGCCGCCAGCATCGCCATGGCGTAGCTGGCGTGGAAGCGGTTGCGCAGCTGATCCTTGGACATCTGGAGCATCCTGCCCGCCTTTACCTCGTCCGCGAGATGTCCTCGGCATTCCGCGTCGCTGTCGTCGGCCGCATATTGGGCAGTTGGCCACTCCTGGTCGAGGCGTCACTTCGCGAGCTCGTCGAAGCGCCCCCCCCCCCCCCCTGTCAGGGCATCGCATGCAACGTGCCCGCCGTCCCTCCAGTCTCCGGATCCCCCAGTGACGCCGCGTAAAGGGGGCCCTTCTTCGCGCGGGAGCGCCGCCTGCAACTGGGGGCGGATGGGCTGCGCCTCGGCGGCGCAAACCAGGTCGTCGCCCCGGCCGGCCCGCCGCGCTGCTCCAAGCCAGACTTCGAAGGTCCCCCTGGCCGCCTCGTAGACCTCCTTGCACGCGAGGTCGGAGGGGTCGCTCGAGTCGGCGGACTGCGAAGTTCGGGGATGGACAGACCTCCCTTTAGTAAAACGTGGTTTAGTGAAAACGACCTCGGGCCCAAACCTGGCGGGCGCAAGCCTGGAAAATGACGGCCGCGGCGCCCTCTCGAGAACCGAAAACAGACAATTCACTAATCGACGTGTCAGGGTAGGAGGTCTGTCCAACCCCGAGAAGTGCACCTGCGCTGCCAGCTCGAACGGGGCGCGCTTTGCGGCCTCCAGCCGCCCGCGGCCGTCGCGATCCATTCAATGGACTCGGACGCCATCTCCGCCCAGTTCGGAACTTCCGGAGACGTGGATGCCCGCAGCCGGGCGAAAGAAGGCCAGAATCGCAATGGAATCCTCTCGGGCCCCTGATGCACTCCCAGCGGCGCGGCGGTCCTGCGCTTCCGGCGCGGCGCGGGGGCCTCGCGGTCGCGCGCCAATCCCCCCCCGTCATGACGCGACGATGGCGCGCGCGCGCGTGGCGCCCGGGGCCCAGGTCGCAGCGGCGCCCGAGGGCGGCGCCGTCGAGCTCCGCGCGCGCTCCGAGCCGGTCCGGCCTCGTCGGGGGCCAATCCGCGAAGGGCGCGACGCCTGCCTTCGGGCCATAGCGCTCGACGGAGACGGGGTTGCCCCGCTTTTCCGCCGGGCGCCTGCCATTGCCCCTCCCGATGTAGATGTCGCCCTTGCCGATCGGGCTGCTCGCTGCTCTCGATGGAAGGGGGGCGCGTTCGGCGCCCCCGCGCCCTCGCTCTCGCCCTGCTTCCCGAGCGGGGCTGGCGCGGGGCCCCGGCCGAGGCCCCCGCCCCCCGCCATGCTGCTTACGCCTTGCGCCGCCCGCTCGCGCAGCAACGGGGGCCGGGCCGCGGCGCCCGTGGTCTTGAACGCCGCCCGCGCGCGAGCGACTGGACCCCGCGGGCGGCGGCGGCAGCGGCCCGCCATGCAGCGGGCGGGCATTTCGCGTCGAAAAGCGGTCTCCCGCAGCGGGGCCGCGGGTCGCTCGCCAGCCCAAGCGCCGACCGACGAGGCGCGTCGGCGCGGGGAACGGTGCGCCGAAGCTGCTCTGGTGGAGGGATGCTGCGCGCGCCGCCGAGGGCGCGAAACTCGCCCATCGCTGGCAACTGCCGCGCGCGGGCGGGGTGCTGACCGCAGCGGCGCAGCGTCGGAAGGGGTCGGCGCCGTCCGAACTGGCCACGCCCACCTCCCCCAGGTGCGCAAGTGCCCCGAGGCGGCGCGCGAGCGCAGCGACGCCTGCCCGTCGGCTGCGCGCTGCGACGGAAAAGGGAGAAAAAGAAGAAGACACGAACAATCATTTATATTTTTTATATTCTTATATATATATATATATATATATATATATATAAACTGCAGCTGCGCCCTGCGGCCCGCCCGCAGGGCCCAAGGGGGCGCCTGGCCCCTGCAGCGCATCATCGCGCACCCCTTGTCGGAGCCGCCCCCGGCTGGGGTGCGTTGCGATGCGTCTCGCCGACGGCCTCGCGCGCGCGCGTCAGGGTGACCTCGCGGGGCGGGCGCCCGCCCCAATGGCGCCGCGGCAAGGCCCCTCGGGCAAGGGCGCGCTAGGCAGGGGCACCCGACACGCCGCGCCGCGGCGCCAGTTGTCCCCGACGGCGTCGCCAACGAAAAACTGCACTGCACAAGCGGGCGGCGCGGGCAAAAAAAAAAACTGCGCTGCGACGCTCTCGGAGAAAGCCCGGGCGCAGGCCGTGAAAGCCCGCGGCGCAGCAACCGACTAATGTAGTAGATGACAGTATGCAGCGCAGCAAAAAGATGCCTGGACGACCGATATTTGCCATTGCAATAATAGAAGCCTGCTAGACGGGGTCGGAGTAGATGGGGTCGGAGGATCGCGCCGCGTCGCCGATGCATCGGCAAAAACATCAGCGATGCATCGGCGATGCGCCAGCGATGCGTCGTCGACGTCGGCGGTGCATCGGCGGCGTCGGCGCGAAGAAATCGGGCTCCGCATCGAGCCGCGCCTGCGATGCATCGGCGGCGCGGAGCGATCCTTCGACCCCATCTACTCGGACTCCATCTAGGAGGCCTAGAAATTCTGAGCATCGTTTCCCCGACTGACCAATGTCCGACTAGAAAATTGCCCTGGCTCGGGGGGGTCGATCACGCGGCGCCTCTCCCTCGCCGGCGGTCTCCCCTTGCAGATTGCGTCTCAATCCCCCCGCTGGCGCGCTGGCGCGGCCCCCGCCGCAGAGGGTCGCGCGGGGCCCTGCCGAAGCCCGCCCTGAGGAGGCTGCCCGCGTCGCCCCCTGGAGAGCGGAGAACGCGGGCTACCCTCGCGCGGAGCCCCGACGCGAGGATGGGGCCACGCGGGGCCGCTTGGCTCGATTCAGCTGACGGCGGCAGCGTGGGGCGCGGCCCCCCGGGCCCCGCGGCGCCGCCGCTGTTGCCCTGGCGCCAGCGCCGCGCGCCCCCCGCCCAGCGGCGTCGGCGGCGCCCGCCCGCCCATCGGGGCGCCTCGGTTCGGCGGCGCCGCCGCGGGAAGCCCCGCGAGAGCCCCGCCTCGCGCGTCTGCCCCGCGAGCTTGTCCCGCGCCCGCGCCGCGAGTGGCCTATCGCGACGGAGAGCGAGCGCGCGCGAAGCGTCGCCCTGCGCGCTCCTCGCCGCCGGGCTCCACGCGCCCCCCCCTAGCGCGTAGTCCAAGTTCGGCTGGTGCTCGTGTGGAACCCCACCTTGCAGTTCCTGCCTGTTCGCGCGGTGCTGACTCAGCATGGCCATGCCCGCGCCTGAAAGCACCATGCGCTTCCGTTGAGTTTCTGGGCCCGGTGGGGGTTCGACCTCAACAGTCGCAGCCTTCCTGAACTGCGTTGCCCCTGAACGGGGCCAGACCGGGGAGGTCGGGGTCTTCGCCCTCCTTGGCGGAATAGACCGCCGCGAGCGCCTCCGACCTGATGTCGCCCCGCTCGATGTTCGCATGCCTGGCCTCGACGTAGGACTGTGCTGACACCTGGCCCTCCAAGAGGAGCTTCCAATGTGCACTCTCGAAGTTCAACCGCGTCGTCTGGTGATCAGATGCGCTCTGTGGCTTGACCCTTTGGTGCGCGTCGGCGTCGCCCTCCCATCTTCTGCCGCTGCCCGATCCGAGTGCGCGCCGCAAGCCTGCCAAACGCGCGCTGGCGCAGCCACCTTCGCGCACGCGTCCAGCTCGGGCGCGTCATTGGCGAGCGCCCTGACGTCGTCGCCCGAGTTCGCGTGGCTCTGGAGCTCTGCCTGCTCGCCGCAGGACCCCCCCCCCCCAAGCGCCATGGCGCCCTGGCCCGCCAGGCCCCCCCCGGCAGACGGAGGGGCCCGCGGCCCACGGACGGGGCGCGCATCGTCGACGCGGGGGGGGGGGGGCACCACCAGTCGACGAGGGTTCGGGGCAATGGCTCCCGACCACCTCGCGCCTGAGCGGGGAGCCCCGTCTCGAGAGGTCGCGCGGGGCCCCGCTGCTGCTGGAACCCTCGCGGCTGCTCCGTCAAGGGGGGCCAGTGTGCCCCTGTCCCAGAGGGTCGCCTAGAGCTCGCCGCTGCCGCTACCTTTTCCGAGGCGGCAGCCGAGCCTCCTCAACGCTGAGGTCCGCGGCTTTTGCCACTTGCACGTGAGTTCCCTCGAGCCCGGCCTCCTTGGCCTGCAGCGCGAGGCGCGGGCCGAGGAAACCGCACTTGTGAAACACCTTGCTGACCCGCCGCCGCGCGAAGTTGATGGAGCACGGCCCCAGGGCCAGCCAGCATCTGCGCCCAACTTTTATTCGAAATCGGCCGAGCGCCTGAGCCCAATGCCCGCGAAGGTGTCTGCGGGCGGGGCAGGCTCCATCTGCAGGTCTCCCGAGCCCCCTCTTCTGCCCAAATTGCGCCCAGACTGACGCGGAACACCCGCTGAAAAACCCAAGGAAGGACCCATTTGGGGGTTGCTAAAGGTGCCCGTGCCCCGAGGTGTCCCCAGCTTTTCGCTCCCCTTTGGAGCCCCAGGGGAGCACTGGGCCGCGTGAAGTGTGGGCACCTTGGGCCAGGGGCGACCCATCACCTCGAGCCGCCTCCCGCACCAAAGCTGCACCTGCTCTACCGCCCTGGCTGCAAGAGAGAGGCACAGTGTGCACCAGGGCGCACGCCTGGCAATTGTCGTCCAGGATGACGACCTCGGCATCCTCGGTGCACGCGTCGACGGCGTCAAAAAACTCCTCCTCGAGGGGCTCCTGAGGGAACACAGTGTACAAATTACGCTACGCCGCGGACCTCTCCCGGGGTGCGTTCTGGCAAGAGGTTCGAGGCGAATCCAGCCGTGTGGACGAGGGATCTCCAGGACGGGCAGCGGTGTCGGTATGTTGCTCCTCCTCGAAGCTCCGTCTCGTCTGCGGGCTGCATGGGCACATCAACGGCATCAGTCTGCTCGTCGTCGTCGTCGTCGTCCATAGCCGTGACCCACAGGATGGGCTCGGGGTCGTCGTCGCCCTCGTCTTCCGCCAGGGCCTCCTCCGTGCCGTCGAGGCAATCGTGCCAGCTGGGCTCATCCTGCACCCGCACACCCGACCAAAGTTCGGGCAGCCCGCGCCGTGGGGTAACTGCTTCCGCACAGGGGGGCCGCTCGGGGCAATACGACGACGACGACGACGACGACGACGACGACGACGACGACGCCGACGTCGGGAGGCCCCCGAATTCCAGGAGCACTCTCGGCGAGGCGAAGCTGCACGAGCACTCCTGGGCTGGACAAGATCATCCAAGAACCAGATTCCGAGACATAGAAGACCCTGCGTCCCAACTTCTGCAAAGACGGTGGACATCAAGGGGGGAACGTTAGGGGGGGCCCGGCTCAGGAGTGGAGACATCGCCCCAGAATCGGCGATACATCGGAAATGCATCCGCGTTGGACACCCGATAGCGAAACCACACGGTCCTGGGCGAGGCGGGGTATCGGGCCCCGATCGGCGATCAATGGGCGGTCGGGGGTCGATGCATCCCTCCCTGAGCCTATCTCCCCCTGACCGTTTCTCGGACCTGTTGGCTTCGAGCAGCTCGGGTCTCTGGAGGCCGTTCGGGACGATCAGGGCACCAGGGAGAGCTACTGGCGAGGCGCAGCTCCTGGAGCGAGCCCCGATGCTGGAGAGCCGCCGAGGTCCAACGAGAACAAACGCAAAACTCCCGCCTCGAGCCTCGAGGCCTCGAGCCTATCCCCTCTCGGGTTGCAAAGACGCTGGACGCCTGGGAGGAGCTCTGGCGCGAGCCCATCCGATCGAGTCATCAGCCATGGCGGCCCGCAGCCAGAGCCCAGCGACGCACGCGCAGGAGCGGCCCTAGGCAAGAGTGGCCTCTGGCTGCGCGGTTCCCAGCGGCAACGCCTGGGGGAGACGGGCTCACGGGAGGGAGACATCGACCTGGAATCCTCGATGTATCGCAGTGGATCGTCGAAGGGGCCGCGATAGCGAAGCCGCACGGTCCTGGGCGGGATCGGCTATGGGGCCCCTGCCAGGTTGGCGATCAATGGGCCATTGGGGTCCATGCATCCCCCCCTGCGCCGATCCCCCCCAAACATTATCCCTGACTCCTGGGGGCCGCGAGGGGTCAAAACCAAGCGGGCAAGCCATTGCTGGGGGGGACCCCTGTGGGCGCGCACCAAAGGTTAGGATCGGGCGGGGGGGATTAGCGAATCAGCTCACGTAACTCGCTTTCCCTTCGTCTCCTGACGCCAGAGGTGCCACGTAACTGCATGCCCCAGATAATAAAGCATCCCCCCCTCAAGACCTGCGTGTTGATGATCTCCGGACAGCACAATGTTGGTCGGCGGTGGGGAGCGGCGGGGCCGAACTCCATTATCACCGGGAAATGGACAAGTCACATATTGAATATTCTTCTTACAGCTTTATCATCATCTGTTCCTCCCACCCCTTCCCCTGTACTTCATCATCATCGCTGCGACATGCCGGGACAAAAACTTATTATCCTCCCTGGACCCTGAGCTTTATCATTCCCACCCTGTGGATCTCAGGGGCATAGGGTTACCGAGGAAGACGCCTGGCGGCTGGGTCGAAACCAGCTCCATGCGGCAGATTTCGTTAGTCCCCTGACCCCTTCACTACATTAAGTATTAGATCCGACCTTCCTGCTCCTCGTCCAACTCTCCTCCCGCACTCCTCCTCCTTCTCCTCCTCCTCCTCCTCCTCTTCCTCCTCCTCCTCCTCCTATTCCTCCTGCTCACCCACCTCCTCGCCCACCAGAAAGGCCACCCCAGACATTCGCCGATGTGAAGTGTTCAGTGCGCAGCCCCAAAGGTCCTGACTAAGTCCCTGGGGCAAATGTTTCGCCCCGGATCCTTGATGGTCCCAGGGGCCGATCATGGCCTCCATAGGCCCACATTCTAGGAGAAACGCCGGGCTTGAAATAATCATATCGTCGGATGGAAGACTCCTCCAAGACGATTCTAAAGGGCGTTTGGGCCTCCCTGGGCGCCCCCAGGAGGCCCAAACCCTACCACAAGCATGGGGATGTTGTCGTCTCGCCTCTCCAAGACGCGAACGACGTCATGATAAGATTGGGTCCGGATGCGTTCCTTAATTTCCAGAACATCCAACGGCCCTCGTTTCTGCAACACGTGTGAAACGTTTGGGCATACAGGAAATCCGGGAAACATGGGAAATCTGGGAAGACATCATTATCATTACCTTGTGCTCCTCTGATTTTCGCCCCAGACGGCCATCCGAGGCCCCAAGATGGCCCCAAAAGGGCGCCAAAGGAGCCCGGAGAGGCCCTGACTTTGACGCAAACCCACTTTTTGCGCGCAGCCTGCGGGCGTCCGGCTGCTACGCAACTACTGGGTGCTGCGTGCTAAAGCTTCAGGCTGCGCTCAGACAGTCCACCCAGGGAGTCCCAGCTGGATTTGACAAGCCCCCGAGCAATCCCGGGCGATCTCAACACCCCGGACTACTCGGGGGCCTGATGAGGCCAACCAGGACTACTCGGGGACCAAGTGACGCCAGCCGGGACTACCTGAGAAGGGAGGCTGTCTGCGCGCAGCCCGCAGCCTGATCGTCGGATATTTGTGACTCAAGCGAACGGTCGCTTCCTGCGCGCAGCCAGGAGGCCCCCGGCCAACCCCCTGTGGCGCGCAACCCTGGCGCGGCGCGCGCGGCCGGCGGGCCTCCCAGACGGGGCAGGCCGCCCCGCCCGCCGCGGGAGGGCCCGACGGCGGCTGCGGGCGGCCGCGGAATGCCGCCGCCCGACGCCGCCCGCCGTCCGCCGTCGCCGTCCGTCGTCGTCCGGGGCGACGGGAGAAGAAGGAGGAGGAGGAGGAGGAGGAGGAGGAGGATAGATAGATCTATAGATGGATAGACGCGCCTCGGAGAAGCCGGCAGGTGAACGCACCACAAACGGGCGCAAACCCACCGCGCCCGGCGCCCCGCCGGACCACGGGGCACTCACTGCGCGAGACGGGCCCTTCGAGTGGGCAGCATGGGGATGGCAAGCCAGCTCCCCTGCCCCCTTCTGCCAGGCCCGAAACCGCCGCAGCCCAAACACGTGCAAACCTGACAGGGGCAAAGGCCAGGCCGCCACCGCACCAACGCCACCCCCCAAAGGGCCCACCACGACACAAAGACGAACGACGGCGACGGCGACGGCGGAAGGAGGGGGGACACGAGCCCCTGGGCACACGAGTCCCACGGGTGCAGGCTCCCGTGGGAGGCCGCGTGGCCAAGGACCCCTGGGAAGGGGGGCCCGCTTGGGGGGCCGTCCCAGCGCGGGGGCTTGCACCCCGAAGGCCCGACGGCACCCGCCTCCGCAAGGGGGCGCTTTGGCCCGACACCCCACTATGGGGGCGCCCCTCCGGGGCTGGGGGAGGAGGAGGAGGAGGAGGAGGAGGAGGAGGAGGAGGAGGAGGAGGAGGAGGAGGAGGAGGAGGAGGAGGAAGAGGAGGAAGCAGAGCTTGTTGTACTGAGGTGTGGCCCAACGGCGCAACGTTGCGGCGGCGGGACTCGCGAAAGCAAAAGGAACAATTACCCGCGGGCACCACCACTGAGCAGCGTGCTCCATGCGGGCAGAAGCCTCCACGGCCAAAGTGGGCGACTCGACACGCGGCATCCAACGACCTCACCAATAGGGCAGAGCCTCCAAGTTCCCCATCTTGACGATCAGGGCGAAGGCGCCAGACGGAGTCAGGGCTATGGGCCCCGAACCGAATGGAAGTTTCGCCCCAGCCCGTGGGTGGTCCCGTGCCCCTAGGCAGTCGAGGCGCACACGCGCCGTTGTCCCGCGGGGACAGTGTCCTCTGCAACTCGCCGCGCTCAGCTGGGTGATCTCTCTGGAGATGGCCCCACAAAAGCCGCAGATGGGATAACTAATAGGCCAACACCAAGACCTAGAAAAAAAATGTTCCGCGAAGTGTTGAATTGCGTTTTGGGCCAGCGTGACCCCGCACTGGCCCGAGGGAGCGCAGAGCGACTGGGGAGGGCGGGGGAAGGGAGACGTCACGCAGCAGGTAGGAGGGAGAGCAGGACACAAAAAGTGCAAGCGACAAACGAAACTGGCGGGCGCTCTCGGGAGAGGAGGGAGAAAAGAGAGAGGAATGCGGCATCCTCCATGACCGAAGCCTCACTCCCACCACCGCCGCCCTTCCCCGCGTGTCCCCACGCCCGCTCGTCCCCCTCATATGCCCCCCGCCCCCCCCTCCCCACGCCCGCCTTCTGTCCGCCCGCGCCGCATCCCTGGCCCCTGGATTTGCTCAGAGCCAGCACCCGACGATTCCGAACCGTCTACTCCCCGCGAAAGGAGGCGGCCGCCGCCCTGCGCGTCTGGGGCCCAAAACCATGGCCCCCTCTTGACCCGGGCCCACAACCCCTGGCAAGCTTCCGAAATCGTCGAGGGGTTCAGCTCGTCCATGGGGCCGCCGTTTCAGCGGGGGCCTTGGTGCTGGCGTCGGCTTTTTGATGATGCAGGGAAGAAAATCCAGCACCGGCATCAAGACGCCACTGGAAAAGTTGGGAGCGGTTCCCCTGTGGGGGCTGCGCGACCCAAAGGAGCCTGGAAAGCTTGAGATGGCTCGAATAGCTCTCTTCGAATGTGCAAGCCATGGGGCTTGCATGATAGAAAAGCGCCCCATGGAGCCCATGGCGCCCTAGGGCCCGCGGGGCTTCCGTGGCCCACGGGATTCGCAAGGCCCAGAAACCCGATGTGGCCCTGACGAGTCAGGGAGCCCATGGGGCCCGCGCGGCTCGCTAGGCCAGCGCGGCGAATTGGGCCCATGCGCGCTGCGGCGCGCGTGCGGCCAAAGCAACCTTTGCGGGACTTGTGGGGGTTCATCGGGCCGGCTGGGTTCGCGCGACCCACGGGCCTCGCGCGGCCCGTGGAAATCCTAACGCCCACCTGGGGAAATAGAATCGGCCCGCCTTGTCCCTGCGCGGCGTTCCCTGGGGCAGCCTATGGGCGGGCCCAGCCAGAAAGCAAAGCGGGCGCGCGGTGATCGGGCCGCTCAGGGCCCGTCTGCGCACCCGCCGCAGCAGCGTCGCCTCGGCGCGCGCGCCGGCGCAGGCAGCGCGGAGCTGGGGGCACATTGAACGGCGCCCCCCGGGCATCCCCCGCAAAGGCTCAAAGAGAGCAGGCGACGGAGCGGGAGCCAATTGTTCGCGCGGCCCTTTGGCGGGGAGGGGTGCTCGCACTGGCGCGCCGCGCGTTGAGCGCCGAAGGATGGTTTGGCGGTTGACGCGGAGGGGCGCGCCCAGGGCCACTGCGGGCCGAAAGGTCTGCCGCGGGCCGCCCCGGGGCTCCAGCGCATGCCGGGGTCTGCCGAGCAGCGGGGCTGACTGTTTCTGACTTTGGCGCAAGGGACGCGCCAGCTGGTTGACTCGCTGATGGAGCGCGCGCATACTGACGACGGGTGGTCTCGCGGTCGCGCTGGCGCAGACTGCTCGCGGCAATGAGATGTTGCATGACGGCTTGCCTGCGGTCCGTGCGCTGGGAGGCGCCGCCGGGGCGGCGGCCGCCACCCCTGGCCTCTCGGCCACCCCCATGGGGGCCCTGGCGCGCCGAATGAGGGGGCCCGTCGGGGTTGAGGCTCGGGGTGAACGCAGGGCCCCCGCGCATCTTAGCGGTCGTCGACAGGCAGAAAGAGAGAGAGAGAGAGAGAGAGAAAAAAGAGAGAGAGAGAGAGAGAGAAAGAGAGAGAGAGAGAGAGAGAGAGAAAAAAAAAAAAAGAGAGAGAGAGAGGACAAACACAATCGAGAAACAAAGAGATAGATATAGAGAGAGAGAGCGAGAGAGAGAGAGAGAGACGGAGAGAGAGAGAGAGAGATAACAAAAAAGAAGAAGAAGCACATACAGAAAGACAGAAACCAAGTTTTACATATATATATATATAGAGAGAGAGAGAGAGAGAGAGAGAGAGAGAGAGAGAGAGAGAGCGAGGCTGCAAACGTCGAAGCTAGCCTCGACTGCGTTGTCCTCGACTGGGAGTTT